TGTAGAATAGGGGTCGCAGAAAATGATTGTTTCCCTTTGAGTTTCCCTTTGAACCAACGTAAAGCGGGTACCGAATCTCAACAAAACACGCGGCACTTGGCCTTCTGGGTGGTTTGTGGGTCCCTGAGCGCTTCGCCGCTTCGCTCCTGGTGGCTAGGCCTAGGGCCGAAGTATTTCAGCGACATCGACAGCCTGGAGGACGCTGAGGAGCGGGAGAGCGAGACAATTTCCTGGTATAGTGAGAGTTCTTATTAGGTTTGCTCAAAAATTGCAATAGTCTATGGTCCATTTGGGAGGGATGAGAAGAGAGACGTGCTTCCGCACAAATCCGAGCTTGCTTTTCACCATGCTCATTTGGACCCCGAAATGTATCCCACCTTGTGTGGGAAATCTCCAAATCTGAACTGCTGTTGGTTGGGTAAGCGAACTGATTGCTACTCACTACAGTTTTCTGTTGTTTTTGGGAGGAGAGGGGGGGAACCAAAGTTTCACACCGGCCCCAAGTTTCCTGCGTGTTGTCCCGGGAGGGATGTGGGGAGTTGGGAAATGAGGCATTTGGATCCCCGTCGAGGATGAGTTTTCATTGTCATACTCCCCCGTAGATTTAAGCAGGTAACCAGTTTGGATTGGTGGTTTGGGGATTTGAACTCCTCTTTCTTGTTGCGGGAAACTGGGGGAAACCACCCCGTCTCCATACCATCAATCCAAACCACCAATGCTTGGCTGGCTGTGGGAAGATTCTGAGTAGGTGTGTGTGTGTGTGTGACCCCAACAAATGGTTGGTTTCCTTTTGGTTTCCCTTCGAAACCAAAAAATGGACCCCTCAAAAGACTGGATAGGGCACATACCCCGGCTTTTTGGTCCCAAGCAAGGCAAACAAACTTCGCGCTGTGGAGAAAGGGCCACTCCAGTTCAGGGAAGAAAGCCAAGAATGGAAGGCTTGGCAAAGCAGGAGATTTCCTCAGGCGGACGTGTGCAACCATGAAACCCCCGCAAACATATCCCATTGAACCAACAATTTCTCCTTCTTCCAGGCCGTCAAGGAATCGAACCAGCTGCTCCCTCCAGGTTTTCCAGCGGTGGGACCGGTCCCGCCACCGCGTCCTAGGACTGGCTGCTCTACGCGTTGCCGGTCATCATCGCTTCCCCGGATCAGCAGCAGAACTTCCCGCTCTACGGGGTACCTTGGCCGTGCGCTTGAAAGAACCGGACCCTGGTGGCCCCTCAGAGGCTGTACAAAAGGAGGGTGTGCTGAGATGTGTTACAAAGAACGGCGAATGAAGACTCACAAGGTGGGTGTGAGCCAACCTGTGTAAATGAATGGAGGGGGATGTTTAAACAGGGGCTGCCCTGTCAAGCTGAAGCGGAGTATGCTTGCTGTTTTTTTTGGGCACATCGCAACGAGCGATTCACCGAGCAAAGGAAGGACGCCCGGGCCCCTGATGAAGGCTTTCTACTTGGGGATCTTGTTTTAGTTGGTGCGTTATACTCTTTTGCCTAGATGTTTCCCTTTTGGCTTTGAGTTTTCTTCCGCATGGCCAGTCCCCCGATCCGTGCTTTTTCAGTGGGACACTTCGGGGGGGGGGGGAGATGTTTTTAAGGGGGGAACTATGGCTTTGTTTTAGGATGGGGGAACATCGTAATATTCTTTGGTTTCCTTTCAAGTCAACGTCTCCTTTGGGCTCCTGACTCTAAAAGCGAGGCGCCCATTTGCTTCTATGGTTCTTCACGGAATCAACAAGTCGCCCCATGAAAACCCCCCAAGGTCCGCTGAATTCGCGGACCTTCCCATCCGAGGTGCGGTTTTCTCTTCGGAAGGTGCTGGAGGCTGGCCGTATTGAGGAAACCACCAAGCAACCAAACGCAGCCCTTCCCTGATAAATGGAGACCGACAACCAGCCCTCCGGTTTATGACCTGCAACCAGATTGTTTAAGCTTGAACGTAGGCACAAATCCCCCCATTTGATTCAGTCATCCCCCTTTGCTTATCCACAAAGAGAAACTTGCGCCATCTGCTTTCACCCAGGACTCCTTCCAACCCCCGAATTGCCGTCAAATCGCGGGTACTGAGGGAATCCCTTGGACCATGCCGTTTCCTTCCTCCGTGAACCGAGGGAAACCAACCGGCTGTGGGTCAAAACCAATGGAATCCCCCATTTTGGGGTAGGTGAATTCACCACCCGTTTTAGAACCTATTTTAGTGGTTGGATTGAATCGGATGTTCACTGGGAGTACGACCTTTTTGACCCATGGCCAACTTGCGAAACGTGCGGTAGGGAACGTGGGAACCCACCCATTCCCGAATGAGGGAAACCACTCCCGTTGGATGGTTCGACCGGCCAACCAGCGGCTTGGGCCAGGTGAACAACACCGAGCCGCGCTTCCAGAACTTGGCCAAGGTCACCTGGAAGGAGTTGTGAGCCAAGCGATGTTTCGGGTTTCTGTGGCATCGGACAAAACACACCAAACAAACAAACAAACAGACAGGCAGAAAGGCAAGCAGGCGGACAAACAAGCAAACAAGCAAGCAAGCAAGGAAGCAAGCACGCAAGAAAGCAAGCAAGCAAACAAACAAGCAAACAAGCAAGCAAGCAAGGAAGCAAGCACGCAGGAAAGCAAGCAAGCAAACACACAAGCAAACAAGCAAGCAAGCAAGCAAGCAAGGAAGCAAGCACGCAAGAAAGCAAGCAAGCAAACAAACACGCAAACAAGCAAGCAAGCAAGCAAGCAAGCAAGGAAGCAAGCACGCAAGAAAGCAAGCAAGCAAACAAACAAGCAAACAAGCAAGCAAGCAAGGAAGCAAGCACGCAAGCAAGCAAGCAAGCAAACAAACAAGCAAACAAGCAAGCAAGCAAGCGAGGAAGCAAGCTCGCAAGAAAGCAAGCAAGCAAACAAGCAAACAAGCAAGCAAGGAAGCAAGCAAGCAAGCAAGCAAGCAAGGAAGCAAGCGTGCAAGAAAGCAAGCAAGCAAACAAACAAGCAAACAAGCAAGCAAGCAAGGAAGCAAGCACGCAAGAAAGCAAGCAAGCAAACAAACAAGCAAGCAAGCAAGCAAGCAAGGAAGGAAGCAAGCACGCAAGAAAGCAAGCAAGCAAACAAACAAGCAAACAAGCAAGCAAGCAAGGAAGCAAGCACGCAAGAAAGCAAGCAAGCAAACAAACAAGCAAAGAAGCAAGCAAGCAAGCAAGCAAGGAAGCAAGCACGCAAGAAAGCAAGCAAGCAAACAAACAAGCAAACAAGCAAGCAAGCAAGCAAGGAAGCAAGCACGCAAGAAAGCAAGCAAGCAAACAAACAAGCAAACAAGCAAGCAAGCAAGCAAGCAAGGAAGCAAGCACGCAAGAAAGCAAGCAAGCAAGCAAGCAAACAATCAAGCAAACAAGCAAGCAAGCAAGCAAGGAAGCAAGCTCGCAAGAAAGCAAGCAAGCAAACAAGCAAGCAAACAAGCAAGCAAAGCAAGCAAGGAAGCAAGCACGCAAGAAAGCAAGCAAGCAAACACACAAGCAAGCAAGCAAGCAAGGAAGCAAGCACGCAAGAAAGCAAGCAAGCAAACAAACAAGCAAAAAAGCAAGCAAGCAAGGAAGCAAGCACGCAAGAAAGCAAGCAAGCAAACAAACAAGCAAACAAGCAAGCAAGCAAGGAAGCAAGCACGCAAGAAAGCAAGCAAGCAAACAAACAAGCAAACAAGCAAGCAAGCAAGCAAGGAAGCAAGCACGCAAGAAAGCAAGCAAGCAAACAAACAAGCAAACAAGCAAGCAAACAAACAATCAATCAATGAAACAAACAAACAAACAATCAAAAAACAAACAAACAAACAATCAAAGGGACAGCTGGTCGATCTACCTTTCTGCAGGGCTGGGCAGAACAGTTTCTGCAGGAGTGCCGTTGTGGTGCATGTTGTTTTTTGTGTGTTTGTCGCCCTTTGGCGGGAATTGGTTGCCTCCGGGCCTGTCATGTGCTTATCTGCCAGTGTCGCGCAATTCTGCCGGGCACTGTGCAGCGCAATCGCCACAAAGGGGGAGCCAAAAAAATGCATGTATTTTGTTTGGAGAGCACTATATATTCGGATTTTAAAATAGTGGTCTTCCTTTTGGTTGTCCTCTCACCAAGCTGAAAGGGGTACCAACTTCAAAACGCACAAACCCAAAGGGGGGCAAACCTGCTTTGGTGGATTGGGTTTTCTGGGTCTGTAACCCTAAGCTGGATAGCGGAAAAGGGTGCCAGCTCAAAAACACATACTCCCATCTGGGTGTAGTGTTTTTTTGCTGGTACCCCTTTGTGGTGGTTTTAAAACACAACCAAAAGGAAACATAATCGGAGGACAAGGTGGGCATCGAAGCCTCGAGACGAGTCTCCGGCTCAAGTGGAGGCGTGCAATCCGCGCGGCGCGAGTTGGGACCTGGCCTTCTAGGTTTGTCTACGGGGACCTATGGGCGGACTCCCTTGGACCAGACATGGGCGTGCATCTAAGCTGACGGTTACCTTTGAATGTCACTCAAAGAAGAACCATGAAAAAAACACATCGAGCCCTGGTCTGAGCTTCTTGTTTTTGGAAAATCCAATATGAATGCGGGCATGGGTTTGTATGGTCCATGTGCTTTGCCACAAAAACCAAATTGGAAGAATTGGAATTTCCCAGTGTCCAGTAGGATAACTGTCAAAGTTTGATCAGGGCGCTCATGAGTGTTTTCCAAAATAGGGTCCCTAGCACGGTTTCTTTTGGTTTCGTTAAGGGATCAAAAGCGGTCCACAAATTTGTGTCGGACTGCTCAGTTCGCCTTGAGGCAAGGACGTTTAAGCCTCCCTGAAATTGAGCTGTCGGCTCGCACTAGCTTTTTTTTTTGGAAGGGTGTCCTTGACCAGTGCCCGCTACGAGCTGTCCCTAAACCTTGATCAATTTCCGTTTGGGCTGAAGATTAGTACACCAAATTGCTCTGCTTTTACCGGACAACATTTCTATCCTGCAGATCGGTTTGAATGGGAGCAAAGGGATAGAGTAGGGTAAGGGACAGTCTCCTTGCAGCTGCAAAAAGATTGCGCCCTTTTGGTTCTTCACCTGGCTACGAAATTGAATAGGGAACCACCTCAAATTTGGTTCCCACCTGGGTTCGCGTAGCCTCGTCTCAAAGCAGGTATTCCGGGTTGCGCTCGAACTGGGTGAATGCCAATGGTTGGAACATCCTCTATGGGGAGCAGCACCGTCTCCACCTCGCTGGAGCTCCAACTCACAAAACCCCAGTTTGGACCTGGAAATACACGGTGATCACCTTCTGGGGCTGCCTATGTGTTAACAGTCAATTCTTGAAATGGGTCCCTACAACTCAGTTGCCATAGGGACCCAGAAATGGAAAGGTGATCTTCTTTTGGGGCCGCTAAAAATGGAACATGGGAAAACCCAAAGGCAAGGGCGATTCGCTTTGGACAACTGAGTGGACTCTTTTTGGTGGCAGACCAGTGAAGAAGCAAGTAGATATCAGGTGTTTCAAAGATAGCGAGATTGTCTATTTTGCCTTTGCTTTCTGTTGTCCCCCTACAGGTTCGAGCTCAAAGCGGAAATAGACCGTGCGTCAAGCAGGAAAGACGCAAATGAGGCTGAGGGAGCTCAACTTGGCCGAAACGCCGTGGGTGTTTCCCGCGCCAATGTCGTTGGCATCCACCATGTGTCACTTTTAGTAGGGGACCACCTCAAACGTGGCTGGTGGACGTGCATCCCGACCGTGATGTCTAAGCGTCCCTAGTCCAAGACTGATGCTCAGCTACGGCCTGCACGCCGTTGGCGGAAACCAGAGCGGGGTCCGGAGTCAGGGTTTGGGGGTTGCAGTCCTTTGAGTTTGCCCTGAAAACATGATTCGTCCTACTGGTGGACCTCTTTGCGGCCCAACTCACTTCCAGTCCCGTAAGGGTCTTGTTTGCGGAGCACAAGCAGAACGGGGCTGGGTTGGGGGGTTTGGAACCCCAGGAATCTTTTCGGCATCCATACGTCTTGCCCTTCCTTTTGTTCGGCCGGCATCTGGTCGCTTCCCTTTTTTCGCTCGGTCGAGTCAGGCAACCCTTTTTCGGGATTAGGTCTTTGCCCACGCGGTTGGTCAGGCTACGAGAACGACGACTTCGCGAGCTTCGGGGCCTTCAGGGAGTTTGGCTTCAACAGCCCCAACGCCGGATACTACCTGAGCGGCCAAGCCAGTGAGGCTTTGGGTTTCTGTGTTTTTTTTTTTTTTTTTGGGGGGGAACCAAAGCGGGCCACGAAAGCCGGTCTTTTGCTTCACCACCCCTATTTGGAGAGAAAGCCAGCATATCCGAAAAGTACGTTTGTGTTCCCGGACACAAACACCAACCTGAATGTAAGTCTGCACAACATGTGCTCTTAGCATGTTCTTTGGGGTTTCCATGTGTGCTGCTCAGAACAAACGCGTTCGTTTGGCTAACATACCTGGCTGCCTGGGAGTTTCTTTTCCCAATGTCGATTCATCAGGGTACCTTTTTGACTCCAGTTTAGGGGGAAACCAAAAGCACTTCACAGAGAACGGTTGAGACATTTGTAGCCCTTTTGCCGGGGTTGCAACCCGCCCTAACCCAGCCCCTAGTGTGCGTTCCGCAAAACTGGGCGTGTTAGGATTGCCTTCCAAGGGGGGTTGTCGCACAAGGCTCTAGCCACGCGGCACCACCAAGATCGGAACATGGTAGCTAAGTACATGTTGATTTGAGGTCTGGGCAACATATGTAAGCTTTTTTTTGGCCCGTCTCAGAGCGGGACAATGTTTTCGACATCCAGACCTGTTTTTGGACCTGCGGAATCCAAGAGTAACCGAGGAATGCGGCTGGGATCCTGTGATGCGACTCATCCTGTGATTAATATCCAGCGGATCACAATACGGACCATCCATCGCACCCGCTCCCCTGCAAGATTGATCTTGGATATGGGTATGATAGGAGCCCCTCCGAATTGGTTTTGTTTCTTTTTTCTCGGCTTTCTCTCCTATAAAACCTTGGCAACCCTGAAAGCGGTCTCCTGAGATCTCTCTACCTCCACCCACCCCCTCCCCCCCCCCCCACAACATGCTTGGTGAACCAACGAAGCAGGCAAGCTCTTAGGTTCACCCAACGTGACCTGGAATGTGTTTTGAAGCTGGAGAGGTGAACAATGGACAATGTGTCCGGCCATCTAGGGAAATGGAATGATATGGGTCACACTCATCAAATTACCAACAGGAAATGGGGGCTACTCACCGGTGAATCCTCAATGGGTGAAAAGAATGGGAACCAGAAACAAGTTGGATATGAAACTTCAGTTCAGAAGGGATCAGAAAGTTTGGAACCAGAAGGACGCCCTTTTAGTAGATTTTAGGCACTTCTAGTAGGCACTTCTTGTAGGGCACTATAGTAGCTCCTTATTGTAAGCCCTTCCATCTTTTTGTGCTTCTTGAGGGGGCTCTCAAAATGTCGGATCGAACGGGATCCCTTTTGGGTGGTTTCAAAAGGGTTTACCAAAAGGAAGCACCGCATCTCGATGTAGATTCAAAGACCTATTTTGAGAAGCACCCGTTTAGACCCTTGTAGCCTAGGGTTGATTCCCCACTATCTTCATCCATCATTCTCTTTAGACACAACCCATTTGGACATGGAAGCTACGGCTATATATATATTATTTTTAATTATAATAATAATGATAATAAAACAGCAATAACAATAACAGTAACATTAATAATGATGATAATATATAATAATAGTAATAACAATAATAGTAATAACAATAAAAGTACTAATGATAACACTAATACTAATAATTACAGTAGCAATAAAAAGTACTAGTAATAATAATAACAATATTAATCATAATCATATTGCTAATAATACCCAAAAATAGTTATAGTAATAATAGTAATAGTAATAATAATAACAATAACACTACCACTGCTACTACTACCACTGCTACTACTACTACTACTACTACTGCTGCTACTACTACTGCTGCTACTACTACTGCTGCTACTACTACTACTAATACTGATGAGAATAATGATAAAGGATAGTGATGACGATAATGATAACAACAATAATACTCATGATAATACCAACACTAATAATTATTGTAATAATAGTAATAGTAGTAATACTAATAGCAATAACACTACTGCTGCTGCTGCTGCTGCTGCTGCTGCTGCTGCTGCTACTACTACTACTACTACTACTACTACTACTACTACTACTACTACTACTACTCGGCGACGACGACGACGACGACTACTACCACCACCACCACCACTACTACCACTGCTCCTAACAATAATGATAATAATGATAATAATGATATTTATACATATATATATATATATATGTGTTATATATATATACACATTTTTTGATATATAAATATACATATACATATATAAATATATATATGCATATATTTCCGCCAGGAAGAGGTAAAGAACTTCTCCCTGGGCGCGGAGCCGAGCGGGTTTCTCTCAAACCCGAAAACCGCCGTGGTTTGGGGCGGGGCGTCTACCTTCGGACGTTGTGCGTTTCTTCCAGGGGTTTGGGGCTGTTCCCTTTTTTGGTGCTTGTTGTTTGTTCTTGGGGGAACAAAGTACAAACCTTTGTTCCCTACTTGCAAGATTTGGAGAACTGAGCCTAGCTCAGGCCGCCTTCTTTTTTGTTCTGCATGCCAAAGCAGCGGGACTGTGGGAAACTTTTGGACAATCCCATGGCTTGCAAAGGGCTGTGCATCGCTTGAACAAGCCGGTGGTTTGGAGGTGGCCCTGGTTTTCATGTCCAAACTTGCAGCCAACGGTTTAAAGTCGGGCCTTTGGGGAGAGCTAGGGTCCCTGACAAAACCACCAACGACCACCAATCCCAACGACCAAGGGGTAAGGTGAACCACGGAGCCATGCGGCAACAGCCGGGATCCAGCAGCCAAAACTGTTGGCCATTTTGTTGGTTCTGGCTGGTTTGAATGATGGACGCCTCCGAAACAACACCCAATGGGTGAAAGGGGCGCGTTCTTCCAGCCATACGGGAAGGTCAAAGCAAGGCTTTTGCCTCATTGGAGTCCAAGCTTTATGGGATTTTTTCTGGTTGTAGTTCTTTCTTTCACCCCCGAGAGGCGACACGAAATCGCTGTTTGACCTCACCATTTGCAAGGCTCTTCCATTGGCACCAACCCCGGGTTTTGAGTGATGGGGCCAACATCGCAAAATAGCGGGACCCCCAAAAATGGTGGTTTCCCTCTAAAGCAACCCAACACGGGTACTGTACCACAAGCTTGGCCCTGGAGGGCCATTGCCGAGACAGTTGACCGATTCTCCGAGCACAGGCCTGCAGTGGTGCTCGGAGCCTTACTCCACCTGCTCCGGGCAGCTGATAGGCGCGGTAAAGCTGGGCTTGGGGATTTTGTACGCCACTCATTCTCGGCTCCATATGTTGTCCTTTTGTCAAGGGAAATCATCCCCTATTGGCTTCCCCTTTAAGCTGTTTAGTTGGTTGCTTGGCTGGGTTGGTTGGTTAATTGCTTGGCTTGCTGGCTGGCTGGCTGGCTGGGGTTGGTTGGTTGGTTGGTTGGTTGGCTGGCTGGCTGGCTGGCTGGCTGGCTGGCTGGTTGGTTGGTTGGTTGGTTGGTCGCTATAGCCCATCCCCTATTTTGTTTGTATGGTGAAGGTGGTCCACATCCATGAAGGGGATCCTTTTTTGTACAGTAGTGGTTTCAAAAAAAAAGGAACAAACAACAAAACAGAAACAAAAACATCAGGGACACCAACCTTCAGTCCTTCAAAATGGTCAACGACACACCCACCAGATCTTTCTTGGAAGTCTGCAGTTCGCAACCGTGCACACTATGTTTAGCCCCTGGGAGGGTCTCATTGTACTTCTAATGCCCTCCCATCAGATTGCCTCTTTCCTTTCCAGGCACAATGGCCTTGAGCGCCACCAATGCCTCGGACGCCGTGGACAGCTGCAACTTTCAGTGCCAGCAGATGGCGCCTCGGACAGTCAAGCGCCAAGACAGTCCTTGAGCATCGATTTCCCATGCCAGAAATCCCAAGGCTCGCTTGGCCTTTGTTGGCCTTGGGCTTTCTGCGGCTTGTCAGCCTCCCCAACAAGACCGGGAGGGAACTTTGGTCAGTGCAAAGTATTGGAGGAAGCTTTCATTTGCAGGAGAGTAGCGCGGGGGGTGGGGGGGGTGGGGGGGGGGTGGGTGGCTGGCAAGCAGTCTGTTTTTGTGAAGATGGCAGAGGTCCAGTCAGTGAAATCCGGTCAACCCCTTGCAGGTGAAGAGCGTATGCCCCGAATCCCAAAATGACCCTCCCTCTACGGGAAAATTGAGGGAGCACCTGCCAGTATGCGGTTTACTCCATGATTGCCGTTGTGGGCAAACAATTTGACCGACCAAACAAGGGCCCAAGCAAGGGGTCCCCGTGCAAAGGAACCAAGAGACACCAGGGTATGTGCCAAAATTGGAACCCGGAGAAGAAGATGTTTTAATTTTCCCCTATAGTATTTGTATGTAAAACAGTGCAGGTCCTCATTATGACTGACAAAAACCTGTAGAATGACACTATTATGAAAGGGCCCTTTTATTGCAACATATGTCAAACACATGTTAGTATAGTTACATATTATAATTACATTTAAACATAACAATGGCAAAGTGGTTTCAGAGAAGAAATCATCTAAAGGATAAGTTAACAGACGAGGACAACGGACGACGACGGACTCTCACCATAGTAATAGTTCCCCCTGTAAACTCAGGGGAGCTAACAAGATATGTTTGTAAAACATGCATGCCCCCCGTTTTGGTTTTAACGGGAAACCAAACGAAAACAAAGGGGGTTGTCCGTTTGGGGCAAGTCAAGCGTGTTTTTTGTTTTTTCGTCCTGTCTCATGGGAGAGGATCCGAATGACATGCTTTAGCAATTCCGGGCTGACGTGAATTGGGAGTCTGGTGCTGGCTTGGAGAGAGCATGGAGGACATCCTGCCAAACGGACGGGGATTATTTCTCATGTCCTTTTGGGGAAACATTTTTGTCATTTTGTCAGTTGCTCACATGAGGGGTTTGCCTTGGAGGACTTGCGGGCGGCTTGGGGAGCTCTCAAGACTTGGGGGGCTTGGTGTTGCCAACCATTTTGATGGGCATGTAATGTGCCCGTGAGGAGATGCATGGAATGCAGGGGATGCAAAAGCAAGAGATTGCTAGGTATACTGGGTATGCTGGGTATGCTTGTGATGATTGTGATGCTGGGTATGCTGGTGATGCTGGTGATGCTGGTGATGCTGGTGATGTCGATGATGCTAGTGATGCTGGTGATGCAGATATGCTTGTGATACTGATGATGTTGGAGATGCTGGATATGATGAGAATGCTGCTGATGCTGTGGATTCTGGTATTGCTGGAGATGCTGGAGATGCTGGAGATGCTGGAGATGCTGGGAATGCTGGGATGCTGGGATGCTGGGATGCTGGGATGCTGGGATGCTGGGATGCTAGGATGCTGGGATGCTAGGATGCTGGGATGCTAGGATGCTGGGATGCCATGAACAGTGGGGAGAACGATGCCAAGGGTGGTGCTGGGAACACAAACGAAACACGCCCCTGAAAAACTGATGCAATGCCCACGTAAACCTGTATGAGATATAGACCTCCATGAACTGTCATTGCTTTAGGTTAATTTGAGAGCCAGGGAGTCAAGCGGACGGTGTGTGTGTGTGTGTGTTTGCGGGAATTGGGGGGAGAAGTCGAACTGCCACTGGAAAATTTGCACAGACGTCCTTCTGCCGAATCCTCTTTTGATCAGATCTTCAGATGCTTCATCTGAAACGGACACTCCTGGATTTGGACCTGCCACCCACCCGGGCCGCGGTCCGAAAAAATGCGAGGAGCGGGATGGGCTTTTGTGCTACTGCTGGACTCTGACCTCTACGGAGTGCCAGTTCTACCACGTGCCCCAGGAATTGCTGGTGTCTTGGAAGCGAATGCGGTTGGGCCTACATAACTAGAATGGGGGAAGCCTTGCGCGCTGCACGACACATGGAGGGAGTGCCAGGTTTGCCAACCACGGATGAAGAATGACAGACAGCAAGACCATTGTTTTGGGGCACTGCAAAAAGCCGATGTTAGTCATGCTGGTAGGGACATGACTTCCTTTTTGTAACCATTTAGCCCCTCACACTACGAACATCTTAACAGGGAAACAAAAAGGTCCCCTATTGAATTTCACGCAGTGGGCCTGTGTTAAAATTGCTGTTCCTCTTGACTATCCTTTAGAACAAAACCCGATTGGGATGGCACCCTACAACAGACACCCAAGTCCTTTCCGCACCCAGAAAAGGAACGGCCCAGACATGTTTTGCGGTAGGGCCACTTTCTGTGAAAGTCAAGTGATGGGAATGACCGCAACCATGAGAGATAGCATGCATCCCTGCATCTTTCCCAAGCTAAAACTTTTTGGGGTCTTGGAGAGGTTTGGAGCAGCTGTCTAGGGGGTTGTTGGGGTTGCTTTCCGGGCTTGAAAAGGCATAGCTGGAGGATACCTGGAGAATCAATTTCCTCAAAGGAGAGCCCTTGCTTGGGAGCTCGCTTGCCTGCGCGGCCATAGGAAGAAAGAGCCCAAGTTTTCACGTGTTAAGAGACACACACTTGGACCCTGCAAAAGGTCAGCCTTTGGATAAAAGGGAGCAACGAAGAAAGACGCGAAAGGGCAACAAGGTCTGGGGTCTTCGCCCCTTGGGGCGGTTTTGGGAGCCTTTTCCCGGGCTTCCGAGGTTCGAGGTTGGAGGTTGGGAGGTTCTGGCGCTGGGTTTGGGTTCTGACAAAAGGAATCGTGGCCACTTGGGGAGGGGGCGGGTTTTCAACTCTCAGACTGTAATACGAGAGGCTAAAAAGCGGCATGCTGACATTATGTTCCTGTGATCATGACTGAACTCGCAACCAAACACCATTTTAAATAGTTAGGCCCTTGTCGGGTTGGGATTCTCTTCCACAAGGGGTTGCGATCCAAACAATCAGAGGACTCCGACTGACACGAAGCCTCGTCTAACAGCTCCCTTTCAAAGTGCCCTCTGAGTCTTTATAGCGGAAACGAGCAGTCCACCAACCTGAATCACTTTTAGTCTTGGTCCAATTTTTGCACTCAAGTGACCAAAACGGCCGGTGTTTCCTTGCCTTTTCCACGGATCCCCTTGACGGCTCCGTGGGGATCTGTGGTGCGGATTTCGAATCGAGGTGAGCCACCATCAAGCACAAAAAATTGGGACAATCCCAATCACTGCAGGTTTTTTTACATGGTTGTGGGTAGACCGCTTCAATCATGTTAACTTCGGATTAGTCCGGCGGACGCTGCCAATCAGAGGCACCCCCTAAAATAGATCATTTCGATTGGCGTGTTCCTCCGAATCAATCCGAAATGAACACTAGACCACTTGAATACCAGGTTTGGATCAGGTGAGCACGCCCCCGACGGCAGCCTGCTGGAACCACAGCGATGTGGTGAACGTCTACCCAAGCCTCAACACCAAGACCAACGGAAGGCGAGTCCTCACGTGGCAGTTGAGTGCGTTTGTTTGGGCCGCTTTGGCTTTAAAGGGACACCCCTATGTTGAGACAAACCCAGTTTGGCAAGGTTGAAGAAATCACCAGATTGGAGGTGCTTTTCGGGCACCTCATATTTCCACGGGCCATAGGGAGCTCCGAATTGGCTGGGGCTGTGTACATGGGTCGGTGCCCCTATTAGGAGACCCTTGTTGGATGTTTGTTAAAGGAGAGCCAACAGGAACCACCATCCTGGATAGAGCCCCCCAATTTGCAGAATCCACCCACATCGTTTTTAGAGAGATTTTCCGCGTCGCCCAAGAGATGAAGGGTTGTCAGAAAGGGTTCTTGCTTGTCTCCCCTTTAAAAGGCGGCTCCTGCACCGGGGACCGAGCCAGCTTGGTTTAGAGATAGTTCTTTCCGTTTCCCCCTTTCTGGGGATCCAACGGATTTGGACATCCTGCACTTGGGATTGATGGAGGTTGGCAAGCCTTTTGAGAATTGCCAGACCGGAGAGAGAGTGCGTTTTTTCAGTTGCATGAGTCGGCCATTGGTGTGACCGCCATGCAATTGATGTTGGTGATGCTAGGGATGCCAGTGATGCGGGATGCTGAGGGACAACCACACACGTGCAGATGATGCTGGCTTGCTGGTGATGCTGTGTGTGATGCAGGAGATGCTGGCTGGGGATGTTGGCTTCTGCTTTGTGTGCATTTGGCAGGCGTCTCTGTTTGTTTGCATTTTGTTTGCATTCGGCGAGACGGGTTCGCATTCATTCGTATGATTGTATCCATTTTAGAATTAGGCCTGGATGCCTTCCGAATGCGCGGAATGCATACAAGAGGCAAACCACATTTTTGTGTGCCTTTTTTACGCAGGCTCTGGCGCAGCACTTTGTATGCATGTTTCAAACTGCATTTTGTTGAGACAGGTGAATATCATGCATGGATTGTGTAAGCCTTTCATGCATTTTGCATGCATGTTGGGATTTGGCCTTTGGGAGGTTTCGAGCCGCAAGCGCCCGTTGCAGAAAACGTTGGTGATGCTGGGGATGCCAGCGAAATCCGCAGAGGAAACTGCGCGGACTGTCGCTATTGTGCAATTTCGCCAAAGAACAAAAAGGCAGGCCCAGGAACTGTCCACTTGGTAGCCTCCTTTCCGTTCTTCCCAAGTTTGCAGATGGTTCCTTTGCATGGCTTCTTGGAGCTCCAAACGTTCCCGATCCGTTGTCAGGACAGCCTACTTTCCGCTGATGAAGCGCTTCGTTCACACCAGCCAGCAGCCGAAAGCTCAGTCCACCTACTTTGCGGATGCCTATGGCGGAAGCCAAGGCGCGGGAGCGACAACTTAGGGGGGTTTTAGGGGGGGTTTTTGGGGGGTTTTAGGGGGGGGTTTGGGGGGTTTAGGGGGATCCTTCAGCAGGATGATTTAGAGGACTCTGTACCAGCTGAACTAGCGCGGTGCGAATTGGTTCAAACGCG